ATATTTTTTTCTCTAATGGATATGGCGGGTATCAACGCGCAGGTGTTGTTTTGTACCAATAAAACAAATCCCAAAATATGTCGCCGAATGTTTCTAAAAAATTTAAGGTTGAGTTTAATGAAAGTACATCTTTCAGAAAGAGCGACAATGCGATATCTTTCTCAGGACATTCAAGGTTTTCTAATGAAATATAAATCATGTGAAGAACCTACTAGAACAGAAGGGCAAAGCTCTAAAAAACGTGGACTTTGTGCAATATGTCCAGGCTCAAAAAATTCCAGCACAACAGTTAGATGTGGGCTATGTAGAATATTTATATGTAAAATGCATTCAGAAACCACAATTACCTGCTTAAAATGTAAGAACAATGAACGGCAGCAATCAAAAGAAATCGAGTAAAGTAACCCGTAGGTACATGTTTTATGTTTATTATTTTATGTAACAATAAACTATTTTTGTAAATCGTGGTTTTCATTTTGTTAAAACGCACTAAATTTGCTAAAAACAACTAAAATGTGTTTTGTGTACAAAATACACAGCGCGCCCGGTTATGAAACGGTATACTTATGAAATGACTTATATATAATATCAAAAGTCCTTAAGACTTAAAAACAAAGCAAAAATAGGAAATATCCAGGCCCTGAATAAATATAATCAGACTTACTCAAACTTCCAGATCACAACAATGTCTCAGAACCAACAAACATTTATAGCTACATATAAGAAACTGGAATAATGCCAGAAATATAGTTGGAGTCTTCATTTATCCCACTCCCAAAAAAACCTAATACCTCATCATGTAAAGACTTTAGACTAATTAGTGTTATAAGGTACTCTCTCAAACTGCTTATCAAAATAATTCTTAATGAAATTAAGAAAAAATATGAAGAAAGAATAGAAAACAAACAATTTGGTTTCAGAGAAGAATTAGAAACAGGGAAAGCTATGTTCTCAATGGTAATATTACTTCATTATAGGATACATCACAAAGATCATAGGAAGTACAGAATCCAATTTAAATCTGGTTTATAGATTTTAAACAGGCTTTTAATAGGATCTAACAATTTAGGCTGTTTAGTATCTAGAAATGATTGGAATAGATGATAGAGATCTGAGACGTTTACTACATCTATATAAGGATAAAGAAGCTTCTATTTTGGTAGGTGGCAAAAAACAAAGTTTTCATTTAAAGAGGTTTCTGTGTATTATCCCCAACTTTGTTTAACCTGTATTCGGAAATTATATTTAACGAAGCCTTGGAAGGCAATGTGGAGTTCAAATTATGGGAGTAACTATTAACATCAGATATGCAGGTGACACAACGATCGTAGCTTAAAATACTGAAAATTCCTTTTAGACTGAGTCACTAGAGAATGCTCCAATAATGAACTTAGCATAAATGCATCAAAGACAAAGTTACTTGTGGTTAGTCAACAAGACGTTGGCCTTATGCCACTAATTGCCAACAATGAGAAGATTACAGAAGTTAACAATTTTAATTACCTAGAATGTTGAATAACGGGACACTAAATGCGGATGAAGAAATTAAAACTCGTATAGAAATTTCAAGACGAACATTTATGAAACTTAAATCTATACTGTGCAATTCCTAGCTGAACTTGAAACTAAGAATTGTTTCTGAAATGTTATGTGTATCTTGTATAGCTATATCGATGTAAAACCTGGATCATGAAGATTAATATGATGAACAAATTAAAAGCTCAAAATATTGTGGTTTAACCCTTTTTTGCCCCACAGTACTCTAAAGATACAGTACTCCATACTGCCACAAAAAGAGTTGGTCTTAAAATAAATTTTTCAAAAACACAATTTATGACGAATTTAGTCCACAACAAAAACATCTCAGTAGAAGACAAAGATATTGAGCCAGTTGACTCCTATAAATACTTAGGCCATGAGATCAGAATAAGTCGAGACAACCAACCAATCGAGCTGAAAAGAAGAATAAACCTCGCTTGGGCTGCATTTGGAAGGATGAAGGATATTTTTAGGTCTAAGATTCCAATGTATCTGAAAAGAAAAGTATTTAATCAATGTATTTTGCCAGTGATGACCTACGGCGCAGAAACCCTAACGCTCACAAGAACAACAGTGAGTAAACTACAAGTTGCGGAAAGAGCAATGGAGAGAATTATGTTAGGGATTTCTCTACGTGATAGAATACCCAATGCTACTATACGCAAAAGATCAGGAGTAGCAGACGTTATTGAAAGGATAACAACACTAAAGTGGAACTGGGCAGGTCATGTAGCAAGATCAGTTGATGACCGGTGGACAAAAAGAATTTTGGAATGGAGACCCCGAATACAAGCATACAGAAATAGAGGTCGACCCCCAACGAGATGGACAGATGACATAAAAAGAGTGACGACAAATTGGATTCAGATGGCGCAAAATCGGACTAAGTGGAAGAGCATGCGAGAGGCCTATGTTCAGCAGTGGACGTTAGAGGCTAGTTGATGATGATGATGACTCTAAAGATCCAAAATTTTAAATCGTTATGATTTTCTTATTACGGCAAAAGTTGGCGTAATTCCTGACGGGACTGAGGCGTATATTTGTCTTAACTATTTCTACTAAGAAAATATTTCATCGGGTGTATTCGCTTACAATCGTCGGTAATCGAATTTATTGTAACAGTAATTGTTGCCGGTGGACGTTTGTTAATGCAAGCACAATTATTAGTGTTTATCATTATTGTTTATACTGTTTATACTATTATTATAATGATAATTATATCTCTTATTACTATACAATGCCTTGGGACTCTGAAGTCCCGTGACGATTCATAACATGTTTTTATATTACTTCCTTTGGAATGGGAAGTAAATTGAAGGATTGTATGAAAAGGCGTTTATCAGAAAAGGAACTAGAAGAACTGGCAATACAAATTCTGGAGCTACCAGATGATGTCGAAATTAGTGAATATGAAGACAGCGATTCTGATGACGATAATGAAATAAGAGATCTTGGTCCATCTGCAGCTGAAGAAAGTGAATTAGTTGAAAATAATGTAGTTAAGATTGAAAAATCGGGACTAGGAGAAGCTGCGGTTAAAGAGGAACTAAATGAAAGCGTTAAACCTCTTGAAGCTAATCGGAAATGGCATAAGAAAGATGTCATCGAAAATATTCAAAGTTACCACTTAACGAAGGAGCAGTGAGTCCAGAGCTCGCAGGATGCACATCACCTACAGATGTTTTTGTTAGACTACTCAGAGATATTGTGAAGAAGATTATCTATCAAAGTAATTTGTATGCAGTACAGAACAACAAGATACTGAATATAAAGGAAGATGAATTACTGGTCTTTATCGGGCTGAATTTTCCAATGGGGTACCATCAACTTCTCTCGTGGAAAATGTACCGGAATACTTCAATAAACTTACATATGCCTTTTGCTTCGAAAACCATATCAAGGAATCGTTTCGAGATAATATTAGCAAATCTACATGTCAACGATAACCAGCAAATTTCCAACGACAATAATGATAAGGCACTTAAAATTCGACCGATGATAGATACTCTAAACAGACAATTAACTACATGTTATCAGAGCACAAGAAAACTTAGTGTGGATGAAAATATGATCATTTTTAAAGGAAGAAGTAGCTTAAAACAATATAATCCGAAAAAGCCTATCAAAAGGGGCTACAAATTATGGTCTATTGCAGACCAACATGGTTTTATGTTACAGTTTGATTTATATCAAGGCAAAAACGGAAAAGTGCGGATCGAATTTGAGAACTATGGTTTAGGAGAAAGAGTAGTCCTATCATTAACTAAGATGTACTGGAATCAAGGAAGAATTATTTATTTTGATAATTTCTTTACGAGCGTAAAATTACTTGAAATACTAAAACTAGAAAATACATTAGCATGTGGTACAGGTCGTAAGAACAGGAAGGACTTGTCTCGAAATTTAAAAGTAAAGGAATTGCAACGCGGAGATTTTGATTATAGCTATTCTCATAATAACATTGGTTATTTTGTGTGGATGGATAACAGAGCAGTTAATATTTCAATTAACTTTCATAGGTAAGAAGTAAACATATTTCCAGAAAACAAAGAGATGGTTCAAGTTTAAACTTACCATGCCCCAGCGTTGTGGAAGACTACAACAAAAATATGGGCGAAGTTGATCTTGCCAACCAACTTTGTAGTTCATACTATGTAGATAGAAAATCACGTAAATGGTAGCATCGTTTATTCTGGGCCATGTTGGATATTGCATTTGTCAATTTATATATTATATACAATGAATTATGCGAAAAAGTCAGCTAGCTGGAGGCAAGAAGGTCGGGTGCTATGGGATATACTCCACTGAAGCAAAGAAACGAGGCTCCCGAAGTTTGGAGTCATTTAGACCTAAAAAAGGCAGAAAGTATATTTACAGCGCGTTGGGTGACGTCAGATTGGGAAATTTGGGAAAACACTGTCCTGTTTTTACCACCAATAGTGGAAGATGTGAATATTGCAGTCACTTGCAATAGAGTCTAGACCTCAATCAAAGTGTTCATTTTGTGGTGCCTATTTGTGTTGTAATTCAAATAAAAACTGTTTTTAGATGTACCACGGCCTTCCTACTTCGTAAAGAGTAATCATTTATAAAAAATAATAAAAGCTTTGAGTTTTAGTATTTTTTTATAGCAACAGAAATCGCTATTTCCTGACAGAATCTCCTACCGTAATTCCTGACTGGACTTTTAGTCCCATCTCTGAGAAAATAGTCCTTGTAGCAGAAAAATTAAAAAAAAATTATGCTTAAGCTATCCTGCATGTTTCAGTAATTTCATTAATAAGCCTAGCCATAGGCCTAGATGGCCTTAGAATTATATAAATAAAAAATAAATAATAAGAGTTTAGAAGAGTTCACGACAAACATTTAAATAAAACAAACAAAAATAAAAATTAAGAAAAAGAACACATTCAAAAGTAGTGAGAGAAGTGTATATTTTATTAAATGATAAAAAGACTTACCTATATAAATCTGGATTTGATGATCTCTTGCTATTCCCGTGCGGAAAACAAGTTTCGTCCAGACTTAATTTCGAGGATATCTGGATACCAATAGGTTTGGAATGAGAGAAACTTTTGTGATCACTTTTGCAGTCGAATTTCTCACCGCAAGAGCATTTTGCGAACAAACTGCCACACGTGTGAGATTTTTTAAAAACGCCGCGTAGATTTCCATTTTTAGGAGACGCCTTGCCATTGTTACACAAATTAGATGGAGGTGATGACTCTTTTTGCGCATGGACCAGCATCTTCAGTGTTTCGGTTAAACAGTAAAACGTATGTAGATTTGTGTTTCTGTTATGTGATATTTATACCAGGGACGATCATATTATTCACCTAGAAAAAAAATATATACGTTAATACAAACGTTCTAATTTAAAATGTAATTATTTTATTTTATGAGCTTCTCGTATGTTCTGTTCTGTATCCTTAATATGTTTTCGAACTCTTCTCAAATGTTCCTAGTTACAAAATGAAAAAACATTAAATAAAATTAAGGTTCAAATTTTATTTTAAATTTTAAATATTTTTTAGTCGATTTTAAGTTAGTATTTACAATTAAAATTTTCTATTCCATTATTTATGATTATTATTTTGTTTTTTATTTCCAATTAAAGTTTTGTCTGCAACATTAATACATTATAATATATGGTAGAAATTTTTAGTTGTATGTTTCTGGCAATAACTGCCAAAAGCAGGGCTATTGCATAGCACCTACACTTTTCAAAATATATCTGAATAAGGCGCTCTAAGTGTGGAAAAGAAAGTGATGCAATATGGGCATCCCAATCGAAGACGAGCATGGCACATGATACACTTTGCTAACGACCAAGCCGCTCTAGCTGAAGTCGAGAGTGATATGGACTGTGTGCTTAGAAAACTGGAAGACGAATAGACTAAGTGGGGCCTCACAATTAATCTACAAAATAGCTTAGTTGCAAGAGAAAAACTAGAAAAACTACAAATTAAAATGAAAACTACTTAAAAGTTCACAGAGTAGAGACTAACGAAGAAATAGATTCCAGGATTAGCCAGGCAATATTAGCCACTAGACAGTTACATGAACTGTTGTGAAATAATAAAATTAGCAAAGAAAAAAAAAAAGGATTTATAACACAATAATAGAAAGTATTGAATTGTACGGTGCCGAACTCTGTGAAATAAATCACAGAAACCAATAAAAAATAAAGGTCATGGAATTAAATTATTGGAGACGATGTTGCCGGTTCACTAGACTTAATAGGGCAAAAAACGAAGATATTAAGGAGACAAATGAAAATTGATTTAGAAAATAGACGCAATGGCATCCAAAAGACCAAACTGGTATGGTTACCTGCAGGAAATGCATAAAAAGTAGATGGCTAAAAAATACAAAATACCAGACTCCACCCACTAGAAAAAAACGAGGTACACCGGGACCATCCTCGAGAGACAATGCCGAAGATGCAAAGATCGCCAAAGAATTAAGAACTGAGATTTGCTTCGATAGAAAACGCTGGAAAACAACGCCAATTGTAGAAAATCTGTGGTTAAATAACATAATATATATACAGTGCTAGTCAAAAGTCCGTTCCTCCCTCGTATCTTTACGGTTATTGTTATAATAGTGAAATTTAGAGGAAAGTAATAAACAGACGTAGGCTTCTCAACTAGTCATAACAGGTGACGTAATAGTGACAGATGACGTTACAGCGCCACTGTGACAGATAATTTTAAATGGGACCATATGGCAAGTGATACCTCGTTTGAAAGGTATTGAAAATACCTATTCAGTCATAATAATTTTGTTTAAGTTTAAGCTCATTTTGATGAATAAATTAAATAAATACTAAAATTTTAGCTTCTCATTTAATTCATAAATATTGTCGGGTGCTGTAGCGTAAACTTAAGATTTCAAGTATCAGCACAGAAAAAAATCTAGTGGTCTGAGGTCCGGTGACCGGGCTAGCCACTCTATTATACTTCGTCGTCCAATCCATCTAACAGGATATTCCTCATCTCTGCTGTTATTTGATGTTAATAATGCATTTAATACGCTCCAGTGGAACGAGGTAATGAAGGCAATGGAGGAAAGAGAATGTCCTGATTACCTGATGAATGTAGTGGCGGAGTATCTGTCCGAGAGAAGGATTATGGTGAAAAAGGGCACGATTGTGGGCGTGATGGCCGGGGTACCCAAGGGATCTGTCTTGGGCCCGACGCTGTGGAATCCGGCATATGACGGGGTTATGCACTGTGAATACGGAGAGGGTACAACCCCTTTTACATTCGGGGATCAAGTCTGTTGTACGTGGTATGCTACTACAGGACTGTGTCTGCGGCAGCCTTATGGACCCTCACTGGATGTTTTCCGCTGCCTGTTTTGGCGGTGGAAAGAAAAGAGCTTTATGAGAGAAGAGGCCCAAACCTTACTGTGGCGGAGAGAAGGCAGGAAAGGGAAAAGTCAGTTGAAATATGGCAAGAAGAATGGAACAACATGAAGGATGTGGCACAGTGGACGAATATTCTGATCCCGAACATAAGAGATTGGGTGGACTGTGGCCACAGGCGACTGGATTATTTCCTGACGCAGGTGCTCACAGGACACGGATGTTTTAGGGCCTACCTCTACAGGATAGGAAAGGCTGATACAGATTAATGCCTATACTGCGGATACTTGGACACTGTGACACATACGATGTTAGGTTGCAGCAGATGGATAGTGGAAAGAAACAGAATAGAGAGAGAGAGAGAGAGAGAGAGAGAGAGAGAGAGAGAGAGACAGGTGTGAATTTTGTTACAGTGTGAGAAATGATTGAGAGAATGATTGAAAATAAATTAGGTTGGACTAACATACAGGTATATCCGTGCAGTGATCAAGAAAAATGAAGAGGAAGAAAGAGAGCTAGACCAACGACAAAGGTAAGAGTGAATGATGCTGAAAGGTGAAGCTAGAAAAGTGGGTCATCCTGTATGAGTTAGAATGCGTGAGTCAGACTGCGGGGAACGAGGATATGCCCGTCTGGGAATTATGCCGAACTACGAGCGATGAGTATTTACTACGTGCTACCTGGAATGAGACAGAGAGCCTCCTTTCTGATGAATAGAGTGTGGATGTGTATGAATGGAGAATGAATGAATACAGGTAGTGCTTTGGAAGTGATGCAGGCCTTACAGCGGCCATTTCGCTTTCGGATCGCTAGATGACAGAGGAGGGTCTGGTTTAGCAGGTAGGCGTTCGGCGTAGGCTCGGAGACGAGAGGGCATTTTAAAGTACCTGGGGCACTATCGCCAGGAGTACAAAGAACGAATCCTGCACTAAGGTTAGTCAGGCGGCGTCCTGGACTGAGATTTGTTTTGAAGATTCTAGACCCCCTCTCTATAAAGACGAAAAAAAAGGTAACGTCTTACTGCACCATACTGATATACAGAAACACCATCTTGTTGAAACGTCATTTTAAAGTTGCCGAATTCATCTGGATTATCCTAAAGAATTTCAAGTATTAATGGTTGAATTGCATTTTGTAACATCTTTAGATATACTTCACGGTTAAGTTAGTATTGAAAAAAACAAGCCCAACTATGTGGTTTCCCAAAATACCTGCCCAAAGATTTATTTTTCTTTTGGAAGCTGAGTATGTGTTTTACGAAAGACGTGAGGATATGTGCCACTCCAATAACTCACATTGTAAGTGTTCACATTTCCATTGAGAGAAAAAGTACTTTTTGTCACTAAAACAAATTGTGTTTATGTAATCGGGCTCTTGGTTAATTTTATTGGACATATTTTGACAGAATTCTAGTCTTCAGTCAGGGTCATCATCTGAAAGTTGGTGCACAATTTTTAATTTGTATCGATGAAATTTGTTTTCAGCTAATACTCGGTGTACTGCCTTTTGACTGATTCCATAGATAGATGCAGCTTGGCTGTAAAACAAGAAGGGCTCACTACCATTTCCGAAATTATGTAAATTTTTTCGTCATCATAATTATTGGTCGAACAAATCGTTTGACATCTTGAACACTACCTGTTTGTTTAAACTTCCGAAGAAGCTTCCTCAACTAAGCTCTCGATGTAGGGCGATCGGGGTACCTCTCATTAAAAAGACGTTCTGATGCATGAAAATTATTTCCACATTTACCAATTATTAACACAGCTGCTACTTTGTCGGCTACAGTACCCATCATTCTTCCTTTGTAAAAATTTAAACGTCTCGTTAAAAAATAATTAAACTAAATAATAACTGAGAATAACTAGAGAATTGACAAAGGTCAATTTTTTTGACAAATAACCAAATACTTTCCAAGTATTAAAAGTAATGTTTCGTAATCTTCATTGTTTATTTGCTAACGACCCATTTACATCACGTTTAAAAGTATCAGTAACCAGAAAATATCTTATCTTAACATTAAACCACAATTGCCCCTCGATGTATACTCTGAAAGAATATTTATCGAAGCTTTGCACGAAACTGAAAAAGGTATTCTACTAAATGACTACAACATTAGATATGCTGCTGACACCATAGTATTTGCGGACAACTTATTAGTCCTACAAGTTCTTATGAACAAAATCACGTATTACAGTCAACAATATGAACTCATTATAAATGTTAAGAAGACAAAGCTTATGATAATTAGCAAGAAAAGGATAAAAAAGGTCAACTCTACGTCAACCAATCCCCTGTAGAAAGAGTGACGCATTAGAACTACCTCGGCACCATAATAAATGAAGAATAGACTAACAACCAGGAGAGCACGCATCGGAAAAGCTAGATCTACCTTCAATCGGATAGGGGCCTTATTCAAGGTAATGCCTTACAAAAGTAAAAATGCTGCTATGTTACGTCTTCTCTGTCCTTTTTATGGTGTCGAATCGTGGATCTTGAACGAAGATATGTGCAGAAGACTGGAAGCATTTCAGATGTGGCTATATTGGAAAATACTTAAGATTCCGTGGACTAACATAGTCACAAATCAGGAGGTCATCAGGAGAATGAATAAGAACCAAAAGGTACTGATTACCATCAAATCTCAAAAGTAACAATTCTCCAGACATATTATGCGAAATATATCCAGATATGCTATCCTTCAAGCCATCCTCCATGGAAGAATATTTGGAAAAGGAAATCTAGTAAGAAAAAGAAAATCTTGGTTGAAAAACTTCAGAATCTGGTTCAATACAATATCTGTGCAGCTTTTCCACACTGCTGTATATAAGGTAAAGATTGCCATGACCGCCAACATTCGTAACGGATAGGCACAACAAGAAAAAGATCTCCAAAAGTATTATATAACCTAATGGTATTTCAAAGACAATTGACTTCTTTTTGTTTCTTAAAAATTGTAAAATACAG